ATATATATATATATATACGTGATAACCAACAACAACAACAACCAGAGACACACACACACACAAACAAACACAAAAAAGGGGGCCTATACAGATCACACACACACACACACACCAGAAGGATCAAATAATAAATCATATCAACATCTACTCTCACTCAAACACATTCACACTATCTATTTAAAGCTAACGGTGTCGCTCCAGAAACATACGTACACCCGAGTTTCCAATCATTCGTCCAGACAATAATGCCCGTGCGTGCAGTGCACTGCCTTCATCCACAAAGGACGCCACCACGCGATCCACCACATCAACATCAGAAATTCCCGCATGTCCACTCGCATGAAATCCATTATGTTCATCATTTAAATCATCACTGTGTTTATCCGTGTGATTATCCATTTCTTCCAATGGAGTCCCTGCCGTCATTGTCTCGCCCATCGCATCATCTGCAAGTGTGAGAAATCCATGAACGCTGCTCAGTGCTCGAAGGGCTAATGCCCGTGGGGCTGCGGGCACCAGTTGGGCATCCACCAAACACGCCTCCTTTGCACATTGCACGGCCCTCAGTGGGTGATACTGCACCTTCCAACGTCTACCGTAGAGTTTCATATTTTGCAGGCGTTTAAACATCGCGGCGGCGACTTCTTTATTCGTCACTTCAAATGTAAGAGTGGCGCCGTCCGTCTCTTCCATGATTTCCGCCTCGGAGATGCACTTTTGATGGTGTGGAGGTAAGAGATGACGTACTGTTCGGGTGTAAATAGAAGCCATACTGGTTGGGAGATCTGCCACTACAAAGGAACCATGTAAAACTTCAGCATCCCCTTCTTCACGTGAGCGTTTTTCTCTCTTTACTTTATTATTTTTTTTTTCTTCTTCTTTCGCTTGTCGTTGTGAAGATGGTGATACATCATCTGCAGTTACCATTGTAGGTTTGTCATGTTTGTTTTTTCCACTTTTATGGATATTTCGTTCTGCTACCGTTGGTGTTTCCTCTTCATTCTTCCCCGTCTTCTTTCCATGGACTCGGTGAGTCTTTACGGCTTGTGTAGGACTTGACATGATATCGCTGTATTAAACTGTTATTACTTGAAATGTATCTGTAGATTTAAATATATATATATATATATATATATATATAAATGTACGAATAGTTAATGTATGTTTATACGTGTTTATTTGATTTGGCTTGATTAGTTTCTATTTACTACAGCGAGTATTTCTTTTTTTTTTTTTTTTTTTTTTTTTTTTTGGTGTCCACTGGTGTGATGTACCGCACAAAAACTCCCTTCCCTGTTATCGCTACTCCACTCAATTAGAGAAACATTAAACAACGAGAAAGAAAAAAGAAAAAAGAAACAGAAAAAATCTCCATTATATATGAAACAAACACATCCACACCCAGAAGTCCATATAAAAAGATTGTTTACAATATAAAAAAATATATATATATATACTTTTAAATCAGTTTCTTTTTTTTTTTACTTGGTTTTCCTGTAAAAAGAGGAAGAAGCAAAATAAAAAAAGCATGAAAAAGAAAAAAAAAAAGAATAACGGAGTGTATCCAACGTCCGCACACAAGCATACACACACACACACACACACAATAAATATATAAATAAACTCCCTAAAAAAAAAAAAAAAAAAACATTTGTATCCATCCTTATCGCTTCCCCTCACGAACAATCTCATTTCTCTTCTCCTGCTGCAAAGCCCAAGAAGTAGTGACACACCACTTACAAAGCATATAGTTATGGAAAGCCGTTGGGTTTACATCCACAATGATCTGCGGTTGAGAAAGAGCAGCGGCCACAGGAGTAGCCGAAGCCGAAATAGCAGCAGCAGCAGGAGTAGTAGTAGTAGTATTATTAATATTAATATTCGTATTTGTATTCGTAGTAGTAACTGTAGTCCCACGTATATCTTGTGATCCCACTCCATTTCCACCTGTTGGAATAGCGCCCGTTCCTCCACCAAGAGCCGCATTTATTATTGTTGTTGCTGCTGCTGCTGCTGCTGCTGCTGCTGTTGTGTTTGTAGTTGTGTTTGTTACACTTGTAGAGCCTAGAATAGGATTTGTATTTGATATCTTTCCATTTCCACCTGTATGGGTGTGGTTCACATCACTTTCTGTGAGGGCAAAGAATGGTAAAGTCTCCTCCGTAATGAGTGGAAGTACAAGATCCATTGTTCTTCCATCTAATCGCATGTGCCGTATTAAACTCACACACCAAACATCTGCTGCCAATCGACATTCTCTGTGCATATTCCAAAAGGCTTGTAAAATAGCACTCATTAAATCTCGTTGTTTCTCATAAGAAACAAAACATTCCTCTCTGGAGGCCGTATTAAATGGTAGGGATGGATGTGGTTCGTGTATACCACTATTTATATGTGAGGCCACACTTTCATATGTTTCCATTTCAGTATTTTCATTCCTTAATGGAACTTCATCGTCGCATGTTTCTAAAGCTACACCGACGGCGCCGAGGAAAAAGGGTTTTAATTGACGAGATATCATGGAGTTTTTATCATCATTCCCTTTTTTGTCGGCTTTTCTTCCTATATGATTATGATCATAATGGTCATCATAATCATAATCATAAAAATCATTATCATCATCGGCGCTTTTCACGCTGTGATTTGATAATGTGCCATTCATGCTAAAACTATTACTACTCGTAGACCGACGGCTATCACTTCTATTACTGTTTCTGGTAATTGTGCTGCTGGAAGTAGTTTTACTATTCGAAGAAAAAAGTCGTGCACCAACAGATTCTTTGGAATTAGTTATTGCTAAATCATGTGGTTCCTTTCCACTCATAGATACACTAAATGAAGATTTACTGTTCTTGTTCAAACTTAAAGAAGAAGGTTTGCTCTGCAACACATCGTTATCGGAAGAAGCAGCAGCAGCAGCAGCTTGTGTAAGCCGCACAATAGATTCTTCTGCATACTCATTATATTCTAACAAAATATCAATAAACGCTCGTCTACATGGACGTACAGCACATGAAAAAGTAGAACTCCCATGTTGTGGTAACACTTGTTGTTGTTGTTGTTGTTGGGAAACTGCAGAAGGAAACATAGAGGAGAGTCCACCTCCTCCTCCTCCACTATTACCTCCTGTTTGATCTAATAAAGCACTATGAAACCATTTATCTTTTAATAATTCCTCTGCAGATGGACGTTGTGTGGGATCTGCAGAGAGACACCGCCGTACAAATGAGGCGAACTTCAACGTCCACGGATCCCGACGTAATCTAGGTTGTGGTCTTTGATGTAACTTCATCCACCATGGACACCCACCCTCTGCTAAGTGTATAGCCAACATCCCAACCATCCAAATATCATACGCAGGTGTTAGTAAACAACGGGGATTTCGTGTATTACAGGTTTGTCGAAATAAAGGTTGGACTTTTGTATTCTCCATTATGGAAGTAGTAAAAGATTTTTTCATTTTCATTTCACTTGTCAAGGAATCCATACTCTTATGAGGTGTAGTAGTAGTAGTAGTATTAGCAGTAGAAGAGTTTTCACGCATAATACACTCTGGTGGTGGTACATATTCAAGTTCTTCCACTTTAAAAATATGTAATTCCTTCAAACTTTGAATTGTCTCTGTTGTTTGTACAGCACTTAAGCAAAGTGGAGTTACCGTTGAGTTAGATGAGGTTGTTTTAGTCGTATCACTACGCGTAGGAGGACCTGTAGAAATGACATCTGTAGATGGGGATGACTTCTCTTCTGCGAGAGAGGCAATCAGTGCTTCTTCTACTTGTTCATAATATCCATCTGCAAGTACAACGTGTTTAAGCCATTCTAAAGATTCTAATGGATCTATAGATCCAAGACAACGTCCTTCTATAGTTGTAGTAGCAGTAGTAGTAGTTGGGACAGTGACTAAGAGACTACTACCACTACCAGCACCAGCAGCAGCAGCAGCAGCAGTACCCATCATGCCTCCACCACTATTCATTCCTGTCCTTACACCAATCATATCTATTCCACTAATATCACTCACATCACTTCCATCTCCATGGCTATTATAATTATCATTAGAATTATCATTATTATTATTATTATTATTATTATTATTATTATTATTATTATTATTATCACTAGTGTTTTCACTTCGGTTTTTGCCAGCATGAACATCTTTTCCACCAGTTGTATTGGTAGATCTAGCCCCACCACCGGTATTCATAGATGCTACTGTAGTAGCTGCCTGTTTACTAGATAAAGAAGATAAAGTCTCTACTACATGTGCTCTAACAAAAACATTTGTTGCCTTAACGCTTCCATGAACTCTCCCTTGACGATGTAGAGATGCTAAGTGTTGAAGAACAGCATAAATAACATTTCGAATAGCAGTTTCACGTAATAAATATGAAGGATGACTGGATTCAATCCATTCACTAAACACATTCGCTACACTACCTTGTGGGATTAATGGCATAGACATGGCAATTGCAAATAATGGTGAAGTTTTCGAATAAGGAGCTCCACGCGGTGATGGACTAACTCTACCAACACCACCACTACACTCTCCTGAGACATTAAGATCTATTGGAGGACTATCTTTAATACGATTAAAACTTCGACTAGAAGCAGGTTCTTCAGAAGCATTCTTTTTCGTTTCATTACCAGCATTAAATATACCACCTAAACGTGAAGCTGTATTAAAAGCATTAGAAAGGGATTTAAAGTTTGGGGAAGCTAAAAATCTACTATGATTAGAACGTAAAGTATCTGCTAACGCTGTATTGGATCTTGTTAAGGACTTTGGTGGTAATACTTTCTCTCGAACAGAACGCCGTCGTGCAGTAGTAGTAGTAGTAGTAGTAGTAGAAGGGGCTTTAGGGGGCAGACACCGTTCCCCAACAGCTGCCATTGGAGTTAAGGATGTGGATAAACTAAGTAAATCATTATTTTCAGGATATAATGGAAATACGGCAATCCCCAAAATAGGAAGTCGCCAAGCCATCGCATCATTATTCGTTTCATCACCTTCCATATGATCATTTATAATAGGAGAACAATTACCGGATAAGTTTTTTTGTGTAGGTTCTGCATTAAATACCCTCTCATCTATGAAAGGAGTTGTTATATTTTCATCATCCTCTAAATTAGATACTAATAGTGGACTTCCAGGAGGAAGTAAAGAATTTCTTTTAAAGGCTACTAATTCATTCTCTGAGAGTGTTGCCATTCTACGACGATGACCAGCATCTGGACTAATAAGATCTTCCACACTCTTTTTTTCTTCCTCTGTTCTAAAAGAGTTGGTTGAACTCAGACAATATCTTTTTGCCTTCCTCACAGCATCCTCACCCATCATTTCTTCTACTTGTTCTCCATCTGATATGGAGAGTAATTTCTTTTCAAGTTTCCTCTGAATTATTTGAAAGAAATCACGTGTTAGACACTGCTCTAGAGCTTCACTCCCTTCACGTACAAGATGAGTAGCACCATTATCATTATCATTATCATTATTATGATGATGATGATGATGTTGTTGTTGTTCCTCCCCCTTTTTCTCATTACTTTCTGGTTGAAAAGGTAATGTTTTATCAACTTCACGTACTTTACTTACATCCCCATAAAACTCTTCACCTTTCATCTCATCTGGTGTCTTATCTGTAGAACACCCGGAGAAACCCATTTGATTAATTGAGGGAGAAGCGATAGAGGATGAACGAAGAGGAGGCGATAATGATAATGATGATGATGATGATTGAGGTAATGAATATGTAGAAGATTTACGCTGCAATGCAAGTGTTTTTAGTTTTTGCAGCATCACTCCATCTACAAACAAAACACGTACGGCACAGATGGATTTATTTTCAATCATTTGTCCACATATCATTTTACTTCCATGACGAACATTTCTAAATACTTCCATTTCTACTTGACTCTCTTGTCTAGAATTAGCAAAGTATCCCATTACTAATTGCTGTAATGCCGGTGATGTGTGTGAGACGGCGAGTTGAACAGGAGACGGTGATGATCGGGGCATGTGATGTGTAGACATTTGCGATAATGCATGTAAAGAAGCCGCCGCTCTCTGTTCGTCTGTACGACTTAAATTCATATGAGAAGGTTTTCCGCATAATTGATTGTAGTTTAGCATTGACGGTGGAGAGATGCCGGTGAAGGGTTCATCATATAAACGGCAGGAGAACCCACCGCCGATGGAAATCTCCGGTAGTGTACTGTGTCGACGGGTTTTGTAATCACATGTTAATGGGACCGATAACTGTCTTGGAGTGGCGGGGGAATATAATAGATTGATATCACCTACTACTTCTTTTTGTTGTTTTGATTTTTTTTTTATGAGAAAGTTTTTTTTTCTTTTTTGGTTTTGGTGTTTGTGGTGTTTGTTGGGATGGTGAAAGTGGTGGTTTCTGTGCTTTTGGTCCTCCTTTTCGTTTGATCTTCGCGGGTGTCCCTTTGGGTTGTGTGCGTGTTCCCACAATGCGGGATGGCATACGCTCACTAACAGATAATTATATATATATAGATAGATAGATAAAGAGAGAGAGAGAGAAAATAACAATATTAATAATATTATTAATAATAATAGTCATTAAAAAACCATATATATATATATATATATATATATAGAGAGAGAGAGAGAGAGAGAGAGATTCATAAGAATGAAAGCAATAATAACGCATAAATAGTCATAGTAAAAAGTGAGTATAAACAATAAACCCACAGCAAAAGCAAAAAAGAAAAAAAAAAAAAACACTTCATATACCCAAAGAGACTCAAACAAACAAACGAACCAAAACAGCTACAAAACGTCTCTTTCAGCACAACTACACAGCCACCACAAATATCAATCAATCAATCAATCAATAAGTAAAAAAAACTTCTATTCTCACATCCTGTTTTTATTTCCTTTTTTTGTTTTTTTCTCTCTCACTTTCTTTTTCTTTCTTTCATATAAACAGGAATATTCACAGACACAATAGTGCTAATCACAACTGTAAATAATTAATTCACATCGCCGCAATCTCTATTCTTTCTTTCTTTCCACAGACATATATATATATATATATATATATATATATAAACATATTACAATAATCGTACACAGCGAGAAATACATACATAGATAGGTAGATACATACATATATTATTACACAGAGAGAGAGAGAGAGAGAAATACAAAGGTAAAGTGAAAGAGAGAAAGATAGAGAGAAACAAAGATGAGATAGAGATTTCACTTCATCTTTTTCTTCTATGCGACTCTTTCTCTCCTCTGTTTTCTTTTTTTTTTTTTTGAAAACTACTTGACTGAATTACAATACATAGCAAATATATTAATGCTGACTCTTTAATAAAAAGCAAGAAAAAGAAAAAAAAAAACTGAACTCTATGTGGACATTGGGGCGAAAATAGAAAAAAAAAAAAAACGAAAAATAACGACGAAAAGAAGCCACACACGCACAAGAGATAAATTAAAAAAAAAAAGAGTAAAATAAAAAAAAAAAGAAGATTAAGGAGGGTTAACCACTTATGGGGTATTATAAACATTTAAAGAAACTAAGGTGGTTAAAAGGTAGAAGATATATGTATATATATATATATCTACATAAAGAGAAAGGGTTAGAGTCACCAAGGACAGAGAGAAGGTAGACTAAACTATAAAAAGGGAAAAATAAAGACAAACCATTATTTCTGCGTACGCACAAAAAACCTCAAGATATAAAGAAGGAAATATAATAATAATAATAAAATGAAGAAGAAGAAGAAAGAAAGAAAAAAAAGAAAACAAACATTGAACGCAAGGAGAAAAAAACCAAGAAGAAGACTTTTTCTTTCTTTTTTACTCTTCTTGTAATGTGGTATATTCAGCCCATTCTTATCCCTTTTTTTTTCAATGGTTTCTTCTCCTTCCTTACTTGTTTTTCTCTTTTTTTTTCTTTTTTTCTTTTTCTTTCTCCCACTGTAACTTCTCCTCCTAGTAAGAAGAACTGTGAGTGGGGAAGTGGTGAAGTTGATCTCTACAAATCCTTTTTTTTTTTTTTTTTGCTTACTTCACATTAATGTGAAGAAATAAAAATAAATAAATAAAATTGAACATTCACTCATATATACGCACTCTCACTCTCTTACTGTTCCGACATCACTGTTTTAAACACACGTGTAAAAGGATCATCGTCAACTTCACTTTCTTCCTCCTCTTTCTTCTCCGTTTCCTGCTGCTCTCTCTCATTCTTCCCTAGACTCTTTAACACATGATGCTTTGCATCTCCCTTCTGTAAACCTATTGTTTCCACCGTAACAGTAGTAGTAGTAGTAGTAGTAGTAGTAGTAGTGGTATTATTATTATTATTATTATTATTATTATTACTATTATCATCACGTTTTAAACCATTTGTAACCGCAATTTGTTCAAACAGTTCTGTTGCTGTTGGAGTTGCTATATTGGGTGATCTTGACGGTGGTGATAATGCCTGTACGGGTGGGGATATATAATGTGGAGAACTCTCTTCATTCTCAGGTCTTATCGCCTGTATCGTAGGCGTTGTAGTCGTAGTAGTAGCAGCCGTTACTGTAGTAGTAGTAGTAGTAGTAGTATTAGTATTAGTTGGGCATAACTCTCTATTTCCTGCCTTTTCACTAAACAATGGTGGTGTTAACGAGACAGCGTGTGGTGTATCCATTCCATGTGAAGAGACATGAGAGGTTGGACGTTTTCCTTGTGTTGTATAGATGGTATCATCACGACTCATGTTATCTTGTGTGGATCGGTTTCTACTTCTAGAGAGAAATGGATCACTATACCGATGCGTTGTACTCGTACTATTATCATGTGCTTGTGGAGATGTTCGTTGTTGGGATGCCATTGGTGTAGTGGATTGACTGGCGGAGATGGGAACAGCAAATGCCTTTCCAGAGAAAAGCGTATCATCTTCCGGCATTGGCACCAGACCTAATTTCTCTGCTAATCGTGAAACTCGACGTAACCAGGGATGTGAAAGGGCTTCCGCGACGGAACTTCGTACTTCCGGATCGGGTTCTAATAAAGACTGTACAAATGAAATGGCATCATTACTAATATGCCGCCAATGTTCACTATTACACTTTGGTGTACATCGTTGTTGTTGTTGAACCATACTTGCCCGTGAGGTTCCATTAAATGGGAAACAACCACTTAAGAGAACATAAGCCACAATACCAATTGCATAGGCATCTAATTTTCTTGCTAAACGTACAGGTGTGGGTTTCCGTTCCCATCCATAGGAGACAATCCAACGCAGCATCTCCGGTGGAAGGTATTTGTCTGTTCCACACGGTGTTAGGAACAATATGGAATCTCCATCATCTTGTAATTCCTCCGCACGGCTTGAACGTTGACGCATCTCTGTATTGTTCTCTGCAGGACACATGGGGAGTGAAATACCTCCTGCTGCTGCTGTTGTTGGTGCTGTTGATTGTGTATTATTATTATTATTATTATTATTATTATTATTATTATTATTATTATTATTATTATTATTATTATTATTATTAGTGTGAGGGATGGGAACATTAGAGAGAGATGTGGGATTTAATGGTTCATCCATGGTACGACTGTTAGGATCTCGTATTGTGCTTACATCAACATCTGCACTTAATAAGAAATCTTGATGAGTGGCGCTGATCTCAGGAAGTACATCTCGTGAGATACTAGTGACTGGTGTTCCACTCTCTACTGTAGTTGAAGGAAGATCAGTTGCAGAGAATTGTAAATCCATCCCCATTCGTCCAAACTCTCCACTATTACATCCATTACCTTCTTCCAAACTGGCAGGCATATCATGCCCATTGTTGTTATTATTATTATTATTATTATTATTATTATTATTATTATTATTGCTGCTATTATTATTACTGTTGTGGGCAGTAACATTCGTCTCCATTTCATCATTCGCAAGAGTTGTACAGTCTAATGAAGAATAAGATGAAGATGGAGATGCCGCAGAGGAGGCGGAAGTAACCGATGGAGTATTATTCGTACTAGAAGCACAGGAACTACTATCACTATCCACAGAAACAAATATATTCATAGCCGATGGCACCGGTGTTGGCATACCTCCACGAATCCCACGACTACTAATAATACTATTATTATTATTATTATTATTATTATTATTATTATTATTATTTCCCTGTAATCCAGATCGTTGTAAAGTTCCCTCTTGTGTGGTACGTCCACGATATTTCTCAGGTCGTCGTGAGGTTCGCCGTGCAAGACCAAAATCAATAAGTGTTACTTTAAGTAATTGATCAAGTTCTTCAGGTCTCTTTCGGTATGAAAATGATCCCCATATGGAATGGGAATGTGTATACGGTTTATTGCCATTTCCTCTATTCGTTTTATATTGTTTAGAATCAGTAATACTTCCTTGATTGTCATTTCCCTCATCTTCTTCTTCATCATCTCCTTCTTGTGTATTGTATGTATGTGGTTCTCGGTTATTTGCACTTGAGTGTCTTGGCTGCACTACATCTTCTCCAAGTACCTGATGAATTTGATCTCGTGAAATATCTAAACGAGATAGTAGTACATTTTCCAATTTAATATCACGATGAATAATCCCTTCACACTGTTGTAAGTAATTCACCGTTCCCACTAATTGATAGAGAATTAATGCCACTCGTATTTCAGAAGGAGATCCATACATTTCTAAATATCGTCGGGCATCCAAACATCCTTTTCCCATATTCATCACAATAACAAATTCATCCGGTGTACGTAAGGCTTCTATGAATTGTGAACAAGAGTTGTGGTGTAATCGACGAATGGTTGATATTTCCCGTTCAATCTCAACAAGTTCACGATGCATTGCCTCCTGCTCTTCTAAACTACTACGACGATACATCGCAGCAGCTCCACTCACAGCAACACTATTCGCCACTGCCGCCATGGCTCGATCTAAATAGTGTAATGTAGATGGTTTCTCTGCTGTTGATGGGGTTCCAGATAGTCTATCTACATATCTTTCCTTCTTTTCCTCATCTAGAATAATGGAATTGGTTAATAAACCCGGTTTTCTCCATCGACGTCGAGGGATTACTTTAATCGCCACAAAGGTATCACTAGGGTTTCCACGGAATACCGGCATCGCGCGGAATACACGAGAAAAGGCCCCATCGCCTACATAATCCGCTTCTGGGTGAAATACATACGCATCCTGCAGACACTCTACTCGACGACACTGATGCGCAGGCCGTAGAATAGATGGAAGCGCCACTTTTTCCTTATTGCTCGCCAATACACCTCTACGCATTCCACATCGGCTTACACTTCCTCCTCCTCCTCCTCTTCTTCTTCCTCTTCTTCGCATCGCTTTACTACTACTATCTTTACTACTGCTACTACTTCTACTAACATTATTGGTGTTAGTATTGGTGGTGTTGGTGGTGTTATTGCGACGCCGACGACTACGACTGCGGCTTTGAAGATTAAGTGCGATGGATGGTAAAGCCGGTACGGAGGCGGCCCGTCGGCGTGAACGTTCACGCAATAGTGAGAAAGCACATCGTCCACTAGTGGGAGAAGGACGTACTTGCGCACTGTAGAAATCCCGCTCTGTGGAGAGTAACTGTGTGAGCCAGACATCTCCTTCCAGTTCACGCAGTGCCATCTGCACCGCATCCCGGTCCTCCACAGTGGCCTCCCCACGCACAAACACAAGTAACTTTGGATTACGCAATGCAATAGCCGTCTGTGGTATTTTGTGTAATCCATCATTATTCTTATTCTCATGATTGTGATGATGAGGATGAGGATGAGGATGAGGAGATGATGATTTTGATGAGATCTTTTGCAGTGGAGCTGTATGGGATCGTTGTCGTCTCTGTACGGTTGTTTGGGTTTGCGTGGGTGTTCTTAAGATTGGGGTTCGCATGGCTGTTGTTGAGATCTGCGTTCGTGTTTCCCGCTGCGTGCGCCACCACCGCAGGCGGTCCACCACCACAACATCCACATTCTGCACAGAGGCCAGTCCAGGAAGCATGATAATATATATATATATATATATATATATATATATATATCTGTCTGTATATATAGATAGATAAATAAGTGAAAAAAAAAAATATGAATTGCCTTTCTCCTTCTTTTTTTTTGTCTTTTTTTTTTGTGCGGTTTTCTCTATTCCGTTACTCGTATTTTTTTTTTTTCTTTTTTTTCCTTTCCTTTAATTCTTCTCCTTTTGTGAGTTGTGAATATCTTTTTTTTTCCCTTTTTTTTTTTATTTTGATCGTCTACAGAACGAAACAAATCAAAAAAAAAAAGGGAAAAAAAACCCTTTTCACTGTTTCCAGTGCTGAAATTAGAGAAAGAAAGAAAGAAAGAGAAAGAAAGAAGATGAGAATATAATAGTTATAGAGACAAACACACATGTAGAGATGGTAAAGACGTACAAGTCATGAGATAAAACAAAACAAACAAGGAAAAAAAAAATAATTTAAAAAAAGGCACAAAAGGGTCGAATATCAAAAAAAAGGAACAACCCCCCACTAATAATAAAAGTGATAATAATAATAATAAAGGAAGCAATAGTAAAAAATTCAATACAGGGAACACATAATGATAAACGTTTCGGGGTAATCATTCATTAGATCTTTATCCTTCCAACAGGGATCTAAAAGCAACCAATCTCAGAACTATATATATATATATATATATATATATATATGGAGAGAGAAAGAGAGATATTAAGAAACTCTATTAAGAGCCTCTTTTCCTCTTCTCACATTTTCCTTTTTTTATTTTTATTTGGTTTACTTTTCGCTCTTATTGCGAGGTAGTGATAATTCGTCCTATCCCTTTTATACTCATTTCCTGAATTTAATCGTTAAATATATAAACTTTTCTTTTTCTTTTTATCATTGTTGTTATTATTCTTTTTCTTTCGTTCTTTTTTTTTAGTACTAGTAGTATTAATTCCGGAGAAGATGGTCAAATGTAAGCATGTCTCATTCCCTCTACACACTTTATAACTTTTTCTCTCTTTCTCCTCGTTAATCGCATCGTTGTATTTATTGTTGTTTGTAATGATAACTCGTTCTTACTAATTACTGCTTACGTATATCCTATCACTAAATCTATATATATATATATATATATATATATATTGTTTGCTCCTTCTTCTTCTTCGAATTGTTATTGCTGTTCATATCATACTTCTTCTTCTTCTTCTCATTATTACTTATTTCTGTTCTCTCTTACTGTTTGGATTGCAGCATACATCCTTCACATCGTCTCTCTCTCTCTCTCTCTCTCTCTCTCTCTCTATATATATATATATATATATATTGAAAGAGAGAAATATCCAGAAAAGAGAAGAAATAAGGAAAATGACGAAAAAAGAAACAAGAAGAATATGGCATTTCTGCTTTGCCTAAAATCATATACTATCCTCCAGTACTGAAAATCCTTTTCTTTCTATTTTTTTATTTCGTTTCGTTTCTCTTCTTATCAACATATACATCTCTCCTTTCCCGTAAAAGGAGGAAAACAGAGAAAAAAAAAATAATAATAATAATAATTGGCTTTGCTGTACTTCACACTCTATTCACCACTCACCTTCTCCACGAGTTGAATCTCTCCATTGGCTGCCACCACCACACAACCCGCCCCATTACGATGACCGAGATAGTTTGAACTACTGAACACTGTTAAGACTTTACTGCTTTTGCTCAACCGCAGTCCATGCGCCTTCTCTTGATGGGCTCGAAATAACATACTGTATTGATGCGCCTGCAGAAACGTCTCCACCGCCTTTGCAGAGAAAGTCAGTACATTACTTCCACGTTTATTCACACCAAATCCCCATTCATTAAGGACTTCCTGTTGTTGTTGTTGTTGTTGACCGTTGCCTTGTGTTTGGGCTAAAGATGATGATGATGATGTGGCTGCGTTGTTGTTGTTGTTGTTGTTGTTGTTGTTGTTGTTGTTGTGATCATCATCGCCGGGATCTTTACTTGTGGGATCTGACCACATAAGATCAAAAGCCACAAACCATGCTTTACGAAGTGTTGCCTCATTTATTACCCGCGTTGTTGTTGTTGTTGATATTGATGGATCTGTGGAATTTGCAGCAGTATCTCCTGTTAACATCATCTGTGCTTCTGGATCATTCTTTACAGCCGGATTATTGGGGAATAGTGTTAACATTCGTGGAAAGTCCTCCTGTCGAAGAAAGGCAAGACTATCATCTTCCTTTGGTGGGGCAAAGAAGCGGGGAATACCACCATGTGTACATAATACCCGTTCCTCATGTGTGGTCCGCCTGAACTGATGTCCTGCAGTCCGTGCGGTGGGAAAAACAACACTAGAATCTCGTGGAATGGTGTTACTAGTATTACTATTACTATTACCCGTATTCGTATTCGTATTCATATTAGGAATATTATTATTATTATTATTATTATTATTATTATTATTATTATTACTGTTGGGTACATTCGGTATCACAATCTCTGCAGCCAATGGAAGATGTCTAAACAATGCGGTTGTCTCTTTAAAAAGGACTTGTCCATCCTCTTCTCCATATAAAGCCTCACATTGGGCAAGAAAACTACTGGCTCCATATGTTAACACATCTCCACACACCACACGATCTTCATGATTTCCACGCAACATTACCATTTTAGATGGATGACTAATCTTTAGGGATAATAACAGTATAAGACACTCTAGTGAAAAAGGTCCTCTATCCACATAATCACCAAGACATAATATATTCGCTGGACTCAATTGTAAATCATTAAAGATAAGAATACTGCGTAGGAAAAAGGCAAGATCTTCAAAATTACCATGAATATCACCAAAAACAAATGTTGGTGCGGCAATACGTGCAAACAAGGGTTCATTTTCAAATATTTTTTGTGCCTGGGCGACAATTTGTCGACATAAACCAAAGAAATGCTGCTTTTCATCCAATGTACGGTAAAATTGAAAATTTCCATTTACAAAACTGCGAAGCATATATTGATGTGGGAGTTCTTCCATGTGGGGTGCATTGCGTGGTAGTCGTGGTCGCAGACTACAATTATTATTATTATTATCATTATAATCATCATCATCCCTATCAAGAGGATCCATATAAACTTGAGTGTTTTGAAGAGAAGGACGATTATCCATCGCAACAACAGCGGTAACAGTTGTAGAAGTAGATGAACAAGAAATCATATGTGATTCCGATAATGAAGATGCCGGAAGTGGTAAAGCCTCCAAATCTAACTGTTGTTGTTTAATCGCCGCAAAGGTCTTGGGTGTGGCTACTCCATCTAATGTAAATGTAATCATAGGAGAGAGGGTTTTCCATTTCATCACACTTTCCTTACTGCGTGAAACCCCTTCTTCATCAACATCATCATTTTCATTTTCATTCTCTTGTTGTTGTTGTTGTTGTTCTTTTAAACTATTTGCGGATTCTGCCAATACACACGCTGGAGCTGCGGAGGGACCTAAACACGGTGTATCCGCCTCTGCTGGGGCCGCCATACATCCAAGTAATAAATCCTTTAATGTGCGATTGTACGTTAATCCATCACTGCGAACACACCGCACAATGGGATTCATATATAATGCACTCCGCTGCTGTGTGCTTGGGGAGACTCTTGTTGGTTGACTCGTTTCTTGTTTTCTTCTCAACACATCGCCTCTTCCCGCTTGACTTTGACTGCGATGACGTCGCCGTTGTTGTTGTTGTTGCTGTTGTTGTTGTCGCCACCACCAATACCGCCGCCGTCGTCGTCGTCCATCACTGCGTTTGGGCTCCACATCCATCGATAATCTCTGCTGCTGCTGTTGTTGTTGGGTATTCACATTATTATTATTATTATTATTATTATTATTATTATTATTATTATTATTAATATTATTAATATTATATGTTGTTGTTGTTGTTGATGTCGTTGCAGTGGGTTGAGAGGCGGTGCGGGCTTCAGTATTGCCCTCTTCGCCGTTACTTAATGGACTTTTTCGTTTCTGATTACACAGAATAGTCTCTGTCGATTCCCCAACACTTTCTTCATTTTTCCCTGCAGGGGAGCGGAGTGGACGTTTGTGTGATTGCTGGTAAACACCAACGTTTGCGGTTGCGGGTGGAATGACGCCTCCTCCACTCCGGCGTAATTTCTCTAAATGCACACCGTTATTATGATGATGATGATTATGATTATTATTATTTATATGATTATTATTATTTATATTATTGCTGTTGTTGTTGTTATCGGCATGATTGCCATCACTATTGATCTTGTTGGGGTTTTTGTATGGACCATCGCCACTTCGTCTCGTCCCTTCTGTCTCCATTTCCAGAATAGGTAAACGTATTATTCTATCTGAGTAAATAAATAAATATATATATATATATATATATATACAGAGAGAGAGAGAGATAAATAGATAAATAAAGAGAGATGACTCTCTGTTACTCTCTCTCTCTCTAATTACCCTAAAGATAATAAAAGGAATTGGCAAAACAAGAAAAAAAAAAACACAAACTGCAATAAAATTGATGAGCAACTCTGTTGAAATATAAACGGAAAGAAGAAGATGAAGAAAAGGGATCACACAAGGAGGTGGAAAAAAAGTCTCTGTGAGTGTGTGTGAGTATCTGTCCTTTCCCTTTTTTTTTCTCTCTTTTGTTACTTGTTATTGTTGGTTTTTTTTTTTCTTTGTCTTTTTATTTTTTATTTTGTTCCTTTGACCTTGTCTTTTTTTTTTTCTCTTCACGTCTTAAAAGAAAAAAAAAAAAAGAAAAAAAAAGAAACAATATTACATATAGTAACAAGAGTCTACTATAAATAGAGAAGATATTAAGAGCAATAACAATAATAATAATAATAAAAGAAAATAAATAACTCAAGAAGAAAAGAAAGAGGCATATGTGAAATATATATATATATATATATATGCATGATGGTAAAGTCTACAAGGCGAATAGACAGAGAAGTAAAATTGAACGAAAAGAGGAATAAAATAAAAATAAGTAGGTAAAAAAAAAAAAGGTTAACTCACATCAAGAAAGAAAAGAAGATAGAGAATAAAAACAAAAAAAAAAAAAAAATGAACCATGTGAGAAACAAACAAAACAATTTCTCCATCACATCATCATTATTAATTATTATAACTATAACAGCAGAACAGAGAAAAAAGAAACAACTGCAATAAATGTACATTTTTGTAATGTTCGAAATGGAAACACACGTATGATGTTATTTTTTTTTTTTTTAAAGAAAGAATATATATATATATATATATATATATATATATATAAAGATAAATAGAGATAGAGAAAATAAAGTGTTTAATGACACTCACACGTGGTTAACGACCAGCATAAATAAATATATATATATATTTGTTTCTCTTTCCATTTTTCTTCTATTGAATTCCTCTCAATAATTCAAAGTTCTCTCTTTCTTTTCTTCTTCTTCTTTGATGAACGCCATTTCCATCGAATCATACTTTAATTTACTTGAAAGCATTATTGCACACTATTATTAGTCCCCTTTCTTTTTCCCCCTTTCTTGAGGGACCTAAAATCATTCAGATTATCTTTCTTTCTTATTTTTTTCTTTTTCCTCCTCTTCTCTCAGTTCATTGTTTATTTCCATTCTCTCCTTCACGTTATTTCTTTTTTTGTTTCTGTAATGTACCTTTTGTCGCAATAGCCTTCTCTTTTTTTTTTGCTTCTTTTCACTCTTTTTTTAAAACCACACTTTCAGTATATCTTCTTTTTCTTTTTC